CCCCTCCCCCCGGGGGGGGCGGGTGTAACCAACGGAGGACAGGCCGCGCGGGGCCCCTTCTTGCCACCTGCTACTCGCTGCCCCCCGCCCCCCGCCCCCTCCCCGGGGGTGCAGCCAGGCATTCTCCCCTCGGCCGGCGCCCACCGGGACCCCTGGTGAGATAGCCAAGAATGTACCTTGCAAAATCCCCCACCCCGCCCCCGCCCGCCGTACCCGCGCACGCGAAAGTGCGCCGCCGGCCCGGGGGAGCAAGGATATTCCCAGCATGTTGTGAGGGTCCCCTGTGCGCCGGCGGGGCCCTGGGCCTGGGCCTGTAAATGTTGGGCGAGGAAAACGCCAGGCGACGCTGCGCTGCGGGCGGCCAACGAAATAATGAACACCGCTGGTCTAGGAACGGCGGTGCGGACGGTGCGGATGGGGCGCACGACGCGGACGGTGGGCAGGGCGCTGGATCACACAGTCCACACCTTCTCAACCGAGAACCACTGGCAGACACCCCGCCCCCCCCCCCCCCCCCTGGTGCTTCATTTCGAAGGTTCCCCGTCCTGGGGGGGGAGAAGCATTTCATCCAGGGGCAGGCTTCCCCGGGGGTGCGCGGCCGTGCTGTGGAGGCCGATACCCGGCGGGCATACGTAAAAACATGCGGGATTTTGCCCGCCGGCATGGGTCGGGGCGGGGCCCTTTTCCGAGCTCGGCCGTGATATTCATCCTCGCTCTTTTGTGGCACGCCGTCGGGGATATTTGCCTGGAGGTGGAGGGTGCGCGGATATTCCGTAGGATATACATCGTGATATATCCGCCATATGACGGACAATTGGCACTGAGGTGGGCCGTACCCATGGGCCCGGGGTCGGGGCCGGGGCGCCGACGTCGGCGTGAGGCAGAGGCGTCCCGGCTGGGGGGGGGGGCCGGCGGTTCCTCCGTCCAACCTCCCCCGGGGATGGTGCGGCCGCAGCGAGCATGTCGGCCGTGCGGGGACCGGACGTGATGGTGGCGATCCTGTCCTCATTCCCGGGGGGAGGGGGCCGCGCCAGGGGGGGGGGGCGGGGGGGAGCGTGTGTGCATTCGCGTCAGGGCTCGCTCGGACCATTGACCACACTCTGCGTGCGCGCGCGCGCGCGCGCGCGTTTGTGTGCGGACACCGCGATGCCAGATGCCTGGGCATTCGAACCCGGGCTGCCCCTGCCGGCCGGTTCGATCGCGCTCCGGCGCCGTGACGGCGGAATGTGTCGGGGCAGATCCTGGACCGGCTCTCCTCGAGGAGAGGGGCGTAGGCGCGTCCGCCGGGGATGCCAGGCCCGCCGCCGTGGGACACGCGAGTCAACCCTGGGGGGGACGCGCTCCGGCGGGCTCCATCATTGGGGCGCTGCAACCTGCGCTACAGCGCCTCTGTCTTGCCGATGTCCACCCTTTTCTCAGCTTGGTGAGCCGGGACCGCCCGGGGGGCGGGGGGGCTGCTAGACCATTTTGTCTCGCGCCCTGCCCTCCAGCCCCGGAGCCCGGCTCCACGGGCGTTGTAACCTCCCTCGCGCTCGGGGCCAGGTGCCGGCGGGTCAACATTGGTGGGCGGCCGGGCGGCTGGCGGGACGGGCGGCTCTGCCCCCTTCCTTCGCCTCTGTCGAAGAGATAACTGGTGTGCTCTCTCTCTCTCTGTGTGGCATGTCCCGGGTGGGGGAGGCCCCGCACGACACATGGCCCCGGGCGCGCCCAGGCGAAGCAACCGCCCGGCCGGGGGAAGCGATGGCACTTGCGGCGATGGGCGGCGGTGCTGAGGCCCGGGGAGGGGATCCGGATTTCCAGGCGGGAGCAGAAATGATCTGGACACCTCCCTGTCGGCGGCCGTCGCACGCCTGTGTGCTGCCTGGCGGTCTCGGCCGGGCATGCGGCCAGGGTGCCTTTCGGCGCCCGAGAGCCGGCTGGCCGGCCCGCCAGCCGGTCCGAGCATGGCCGGGCCTTGAAGGCACCCACCCTCGAGGGCTCGTGCTCCATGTGAGGGCCGTCCGGGGCTGGTTGCGCATGCCGGCTCCTGCCTCGGTCTCGGCGGCGGGGGC